GGGCAGGTTAATTTGGTTGAGTACGCACTCTCGGTGGAAGAAGATGAACCGGTCTCCTTCAAGGAAGCTATTCGGGATAGAGATAGCGAGAGTTGGTTGGCTGCGATGGAGGAGGAGATGGAATCTCTCCGGAAGAACCAAACATGGGAGGTGGTCCCATTGCCCGTAGGAAGAAAAGCTATTGGTTGTAAGTTGATGTATAAGAGAAAGGAAGATCCTTCAGAGCTTAGTGGTATGAGGTACAAGGCGAGGCTAGTGGCTAAGGGGTTTGCACAAAGAGAGGGTGTGGATTACAATGAGATATTTTCTCCGGTGGTGAAACACACCTCTATTCGGGTACTATTGAGTATTGTTGCTCATGGTGATCTTGAGCTGGAATAACTCGATGTCAAAACGGCCTTCTTGCACGGAGACTTGGATGAAGAGATCTATATGCATCAACCTGAGGGTTACAATGTTAAGGATAAGGAGAATCATATATGTCGCTTGAGGAAGTCACTTTACGGATTGAAGCAATCTCCGCGACAGTGGTACAAGCGATTTGACTCCTTCATGCTGAAGCATGAGTTTTCCCGAAGTGACTATGATTGTTGTGTTTACATTCAGAAACTTCGTGGAGGTGATTATATCTATCTCCTTTTGTATGTGGATGACATGCTTATTGCATCGAAGAACAAGGTGGAGATAGATAAGCTAAAATCTCAACTTAGCAATGAGTTCGAGATGAAGGACATGGGTGCTGTTAGGAAAATACTAGGTATGGAGATTAAAAGAGAGCGAACGAATCGGCGATTGTTCTTGAGTCAGAAGGGCTACATAGAGCGGGTAATCGCGAGGTTCGGGATGCAAAGTGCAAAGTCGGTGGTGACCACATTGGCTCCACACTTTAGGCTTTCAGGTAAACAATCTCCCACTATAGCGAAAGATAAGGCACACATGGAGCGCGTTCCCTATGCTAGTGTAGTTAGCAGTTTGATATACGTAATGGTGTGTACACGTCCAGATATTTCACAGGCAGTTAGTGTGGTCAGCAGGTTCATGGTGAATCCGGGAAAGGCACACTGGGAAGCGGTGAAATGGGTCCTGAGGTACTTGAATGGTACCGCGGATACAGGTCTGTGTTTTGGTGGAGATACATTTCAAATCAACGGGTATATGGACTCAGATTATGCGGGTGATCTAGATAGACGGCGATCTACTACTGGTTATGTAATCAGGATACATGGAGCTCCAGTTAGTTAGCGATCGATGTTGCAGGCTACAGTGGCACTTTCTACTACAGAGGCCGAGTACATGGCCATGGCGGAGGGAGTGAAGGAAGCATTGTGGCTGTGGGGTCTTCTAGATGATTTGGGGATTGAGCAGGAGAGCGTGAACTTGTGGTGTGACAGTCAAAGTGCGATTCACTTGGTGAAAAATCAAGTTCACCATGCTCGTACCAAGCATATCGACGTCAGATATCATTTTGTACGGGATGTCATAGAGGAAGGAGATATTTCTCTCATGAAGGTGCATAAGAATGAGAATCCCGCGGACATGTTAACCAAGGTGGTCACAGGCAGCAAGTTCCGGCATTGTTTGGACTTGCTTCATATCAGCCCGTGTTGAGTTGCCCAAGAGGGCATGGTCCTGCGGGGCGGTGATGGAGGTGAGGTGGAGACTATGTTGGAGAATAGTTGCAGAACTACGGTTAGTTTGATCCCGGTGGAGGGTACGTAGGCAGTCGCGGTATAGTGACGCAGCTGGTTTGGCCTGGTGTGGCCTGGATCTCTCTGGTGAGTTCGTGGGGTTCTTCTGGTGTTCATCAAAAATTTGAGATTTATCAAATGATGTACAAGGTGGAGAATTATGATCGGGAGGGGCCCACTCACGTGGGCGTCTGCCCACAACGCCGCTTTCGTGCGTACGCACGTGAGGACCGCTCGTCCTCGTGCCGTGCCGCCTATCCCATCGCCCACAACGAGATAGGCACCCGTCTCAGCTCTTGTTCGCGCCGCTTGTGCCCACGACGAGCTCGGGTTTCGTGCGCGGAGGGGGGGCTCGTGATCACCAGCGCGGGAGTTTTCCCGCGCGAGTTCATTTTCCCGCTTCGTGAGCCTGCCTGCTGACTTCGGATTTTCTCCTATAAATAGGAGGTGGTTGTGTAGTGTTTTGTGGTGGGGAAAAATAGAGTGTGGGGAAAATCTCTTGAGTGGAGTTTTGAGAGAAAAGAAAGAGTGAGTTGAGAGAGAACTTGTAATAGTTTGGTATTCTCCTCATAGTTAAAATCCCCTCCCGTGGACGTAGGCAAGTTTGCCGAACCACGTAAATCTCGTGTTTGTATTGTCTTATCTGTGAGTTGTCATTGCTTGTAGGTTCCCTCGACATTTCAGTCCTAGAACTGATGAGAGGAAGAGTGTATATTTCACTTTGATAAAATATATCACTTTCGATTCTAGTTTCCTTTGAGAAACAAGAATTTCACTATCTATTCTAGTTTCCTTTGAGAAACAAGAATATCGAGGTTGACTTGTGCTTTTATGATAACAAAAGCCAGGGCTATCTCTCAGGTGATATCGCTTCCGCGGCGTGAGGGTGTGACTCTGCGCCCAACATAAGTCATAGATAGTATCAGAACATAAACAGCAGATAACAAATTTTAAACGAATTTTGAAAGTTCCAATGAAGCCCATAAACGGACAGGCCAATTAAAGCCTAAGGTACCGTTTGGCAAAGGGTTAAGTGAGGGGTTAAGGAGACTTAACCCCTTCTTAACCTGCCAAACACAACAAATCTATATAAGGGTTAAAGTGAGTTAACCCTTCATAATTTGCCAAATATAAAAAATATAGAAGAGTTAAGTTAACCCCTCTAGAGGGGTTAAAATGAGTTAACCCCTCAAAATGAGGGGTTTACTAATACTCCTATTTAGATGGAATAAGAGTTAACCCTTCTAATTATAAAGAAAATAGTCAAATTCATTATTATTCTCAAACACTAAAAATGATCATAAGGGCTAAAATAAAACTTATTTAACGGGTTAATAATTTAGTCCTTCGGATTATCAAATGGGCTAAGTACATTAATCATTCTCTTTAACCCCTCTTCATTAACCTCAAATGGGCTAAGTACATTAATCATTCTCTTTAACCCCTCTTCATTAACCCTTTGCCAAACGTGGCCTAAAGGAATAAACTAGAGGCGCAGTTTCTGCTTTCAGATTTCGTTCGTCTCAAAATAATTACTCCCTTTCTATTTCCATGTGTTTAACGAGCCTGAAAGTTCAAACAATTTAATCCCTTAAAATTTGCGAATGAAGAAATTTTGATGGGAAAAAAGTGGTAAAGCTAGTGGATGCACTTATCGTACATCAATATATTGTTCAAGGGAGCAAGACACTTGAATCATATCATACAAAACAAGAATGGAAGAATAGAGTAACACTAGACACTAGAATCATATCATACAAAACAAGAATGGAAGAATAGAGTAACACTAGATAACGTGGACATCACCAAACTTAAGACGGCAGACACAAGGGAGGATAGTGAAGTGGGATTGTGACGGTTGAGAGAAGAAAATATCATGTGGGCTGTGATTACCGGATTAGCTCCAATAACTTTCAATATATCCGAACACCGCACGTTACCCTTCAACTTTCAGCGTTTTCTTAAAACTCCACAAAAGAGTGAATCGCCATTTTCACTAGTAAAAATATTCCTTGCATAATTTTTCCCACCTATGTGAAAACTGCATTTACCATCGTTAGCGGGGTTTTATGAAACAATCTTAAACTTGAAGGGGGGGTTTTGATAACTCCTAAAATATTTTGAAAGTTATAGAGGGTTTTCTGATAATCATATAATTGGGGCGGGGGGGCGGGGGATTCTGCAGTCCAAACTCTATAAAACACACGGTAAGCGCCCACTTCACACGCTAAACCCTAAAACTCTAAACCTTCGAATTTCGGACAACGAAAAAAATTCCATCTAAGGACAAATTCTCTCCTCAATCCATCCAATAGCAACAAGGGGAAAAAATAAAAATCATTAAGAGATCGAAATCTAACCACAGATCTCGATAGGAGCCTGCAACTGTAGAAGATCACACCTGCTTCACTCCTCTCTTCCCGCGACGATATCGTCGAGCTCTGGGGGCAAATCGGTCACAAATTTTCTTAGCTCACATCTGCGACAGATTTATTTAAGTAGCAACAAAATAAAAATCCAATTGCGACAGATTTGCGAGAGAGTTTCCGTCGCTATTGATTTCCATTGCTAAGATCGCCTACTATTATTTCTGTAGCAAATTATGTGCCAAATAATTATAAATTACGACAGAACTTTTCCATCGCAAATAATCCGTTGCAACTGTCCCATTTTCTTGTAGTACACTAAAGACTGAAGATGAAAATTTAGAACTGACGCGGTGCGGAAGTGATAAACTCCGGAATCTACCAAGGGTTGTTCTCTGAATCCACAAAGAACGAACTTCGAATCCATGAAGAACTTCGAATCCACAAAGAAAATATTAAAGAGGGATTTTATTGATAAAAGATTATGCCTCTAGAACTTACTATATTCTGCTTAAATAGAAAATAAACAAGACTTCTACTATGACTCAAACTTTACCAAAAATAAAAATAACAAAATTCTCCTTAAAAGACACCCTATGATTATGGAAGTAAATCGGTCAAATTTAGAATCAAATCGGATTTGTTTCTTAATCAAAACATACTCCTAAAACATTATCTAAATTTGTAAAAAACTGATAAAAACTTTGATATCTCTCAATCCAGAGGGAATTTTGCAAAATAGATGGTGACAAACCAAACAACGGTGGGTTTGGTTGACTCCGTCTCAGATAAATGCGTGATTTACATATATAATTCGTCCAATTCCGACGAATGGTTTGAGAGATATGACCCCTTCTTTATTGCAAATTATTTTCTTCGGTTGGGTCCGCATTTAGACTTTTGACGGTCCCATTTCTTCATAAATATATCGGCAGCATGTTCTACGTCAACAACATCTAGAACTCGGAGTTAAAAAAGGCACTGAGTTTAAATTGTTTAACTACACAGAGAAGTAAATTATTGCAATAATTTTCTTCCAATCTCTCACGCTTGGTTCTTCACATTTCCTTTCAACTCCTCAATCAGATTACTCAGACCAACATAAGATGAGCCCTCTTCATCAACCGCCTTCTTTGCTTTCTCTCCGAGCTCCTTCGCCTTCCTCCTCCTCTCCTCTGCCTCCTCGCCTTCGCCCATTAGTCTATTCACTTCCTTCTCTATTATTGCGGCCTCAACCAACGCCCTCTCCTCCGGCCTCCAAGTATATTCCTTCACCCCAACCGCGATCCCAATCCTCAACACATCTGTGATCAACCTTTCATTATAAAATTGCTCCGCAAACAAAGGCCATGTGATAAACGGTAGGCCCGCACTAATTCCCTCTAGACTCGAATTCCATCCGCAATGCGTGAGGAATCCTCCGACTGCTTTGTGGTTCAGTATCAGTACCTGTGGTGCCCAGCCTTGGATGATAAATCCCTTCCCTTTAACTCTCTCTTCGAATCCTCGAGGGATCGCCTCCTCGCCTCCCTTCCTCACGACCCAAATGAACGGATGGTTTGACGCCTCGAGCCCTAGTGCCAATTCACGAAGCTGGGCTACGGTGAATTCACAGGCGCTCCCAAAACAGACGTAGATGACGGAGCCCGCGCTCTTGCTATCGAGCCAATTCAGGCACGCGTCATGATCGAACTCCTTCGCAAAATTTCCCCTACTAGACTTTTCGAACGCGTCTTCATTGCATAGCGACATAGGGCCGATGGCCCATGTTCTACCTCCGATTACATTCCTATAGTAGTCGGCATAGTCCGGTTCTAACTCGTAGAAGCTGTTTACTAACAAGCCATAGCTCCTTGATTCAGACTCGTATACTTGGTTAAGCAAGTCTACAAGAAAAGGTGCGGCCTTTTTGAAATCCTGGATCTGAGACTTGAGCAGCTCAATCCTATGCGGGAGGTCAGGAAGTAAGAGAGGCTCCATCTCTTCAGTCGAATTTTCGAGGATTTTGTGGCGTTTTACCGTATAAGACGCACAACGGGAGAAATAATTTGAGCCATAAAAAACGAGCCTCGGTATCCCACGCTCAGCCGCAACGTCGGTCGTCCATGGGAAGAACGCTCCTGTCACGACACAATCGGGGAGGAGGCCTCTGAGGACCTGATCGAACGGCTCCCGTAGCATCCTTGTCGCCTCGAAGAAGTTCGGTTTTAGGTGTGAGGGGACGAATGACATGTTCTCGCATCCCTCCGGAAGGCCACTTCCGGAGGGAAACGGAATCAAGTGAAGTTGGATAGGGTACGAATATCCAGAACCGTTGGCACGATCAATGGATGGTTGGAAGAGAGGAGAATTGGCCGGGGTTGTGAGGATGGTGGCCTTCAGCCCACGGACCGCGAAGAGCTTCGCCATGTCGAGCATGGGGAGGATGTGGCCTTGGGCCATGAAGGGGAAGAGGAGGATGTGGAGAGGTTTATCGGACCCCATGTTCGGACGAGGAGTTTGGAGGAAACCAAACTGAGAGTAAAAGAGAAAAACACGGGTGGGTATAGATATATTGAGGGATATGAGCAGCAGCGTGGAGATGTTATGTCCACTGAAAAGCCAATCAGTTGTTAGAGGCACGCTGATAATGTTGTTATTGCCCAATTGCTCGATACAAGAGGGAATCTTAGTGCATGACAACAAACATAAAACAATGAAGTGTGACCGTGCATGCGTATTCGAAAAGGAAATTAATGAAGAAAAGAACGAAACGCAAAGTGGACTATTATGATTAGTGAACAGTCGCCGATCCAAAACATAAAATTCTTTGTTAAAATTAATACACGGTTCTCATAATCCGCTTCCTCTTTATCCTCTAGTTTTGGCATTAAACGGCATTTGAATACGTTATAGTCGTTCATATTTCGTATTTATACGTCCTCACTTGTTTTTTTAGCAGTAAAGGTTTCTAAAAGTTGCACTTTAATACTTTATGTTATGCAAATTCAAGAATTATATTCTAAATTTTCTCTTGTGAGACTCTCAAGCTAATATTAAACCTTTTTTTAGCTCTTAATGTTCGTTGAATTAGCAAAACTCTGAACACACGCTTCATCCCAGCTTATTCATCAAAAAACGAGACCGTGTATGTAATTTAGATTCAAACAATATATATGTGTTCTGTGATGGGTGTGGTCTTGAATCCACACCATGGCAGTCGAAGGAAAGTGGCTCTTTGGCCGCGTGAAGGAGCATAACCTCTTTAATTAATGCATTCATTTGATTTTTGTGTGTGTTTTTCTTTCCTCGTGTTATTACTCTAGTTGAGCCCGCGTCTGGGACCTTTCTTTAATACCAACAAGTGGAATCAGGGCCGGCTAATCTAAATAGGCTATCTGTGAGCATAAAAAATGAAGGACGCAGGGTCAAGTTGACGGCAACCAATTATTCAATTTGGAAGCTGATGATGGAAGACTTGCTTTATATATTGCAATTTGCAAGGACTTGAATGATTCTGTCCAAGGAGATGTGGCCAAACCGAAGAAGATGGAGGATATAAAGATTGAAAGGTCCTAAATAGGAAAGACCGTCGCCGCTAAGATCAGACGATGGGTGGACCATAGAATATTCCACCAAAGTGTCGTTGGAGACTAATGCGTACAGCTTTTATTGAAGGATGTGAGTATCATGGAGCAGTGATCGATGTCCACTAAAGGCCAATCATAGCGCTCGATACACTACGGAATCTAAGTGCTTGGCAGCTAATACCGGACAATGAACAGTGTGCGTGCATACCTACTCCTCCGTACTTAGTCTGTTTTCTTTTGCTAAAAGATGGCTAGAAATGGCTCATATGAAAATTGGGCCTTTGCCACGTAGGTTTTGAGTTGGGCCATTTCAAAATTAGCCAGTTTAGTTGGGATAGGTATTTGAAGAAATCTGCAGCTGAAAACCCTAGCCACCTCACCGATTTCCCTCATCTCATTTCCTCCGCTCACTCTAAAATCAGGTTGTTATGGTATTTCCATTCGCTAAAATACAACTCACCAAATAACGGACGGGTGTATTTCCGCAAGCAAGGCCCCAACCAGCTTGGTAGCCCAAGCCCAACGGAGGTCTCAACTTGGTCGACTCGTCAAGTCAATACTCTTCATGACGACTCAAGAGTCGGGATCAGTCGACCCTCTTGTCGAAGTCGACTCGCCTGGAGCACACTCGACCTTTTATCTAACATCTCACGAGGACGACTCGGAAGGCCTTACTTCTCGGCGAAGCTAGAGGATAACTTCTGCTTTGAGCTTATCCTCGCTGACAACGTGTCCACGTCGCATTTAATGCTTAGCAGGCATCATCATGCCTCTAGCCCCAACAGTCTTTATGACTCATCGAACCACGTGGGCCACTTCCATGCTCCTTCTCACTTCTCATTTAATGTTGTTATGGTATTTCCTTCTAGTTTTTACATGTGCAGATTTCTCAGCTCTCAAATTCAAGAACCAGACATAAAGTCGGAGAAGAAGGTTGTCCCCTCATCAATCGCCTTTACCTCATCGAAATTATCCTACCCTAGATACATAATAACTGTGTGATCACTAGTACATCAACACAGGTGTAAATTGCGGCGGGAATTTTTGGGTGGGAATTCGTTGAAATTTCGGAGCTATAATCACCACCTCCCTCCATCTTCTCTACTCTCGTTTTCCTTCCCTCCTTTCTCGTCGACTTTCTTCTCTTCCCGCCTTTGTCGAGGAAAAGGTCTTTAGATCTGAGATTTGCTAGTTGTTTCTCACGACATCATCATTGATCTTTGTGAGATCAAATTAAGTTGGGGTTTCCTTGCTCTACTCGCTCGGCAAACATTTGGTTTTCTAGAGATCTAGTATTCATTGCTCAATCAATGTCGACCTCATCTCCTCCAGTGTTGTTGCTTCCAAATCAAAGGTAAAAATAGAAATTTTCTAATTTTCTATATTTGCCTTATTTTTTTAGATGAAATATGCTGAAGATTTTTTTTTTTGGATTTTGATTGAATTGTTGGTTGGATGATTAATAGGGAGGAGGGATCTGTTGGTTGGT